GTGACGGTGGTGATAAACTAGAGGAAATAGTATCTTTTGCTGTAAAATCATATTTTTTGAGGTGGAGATAAAATAGTTTTTGTTGATTAGATATACATACAAGTTTCTTTGATTATTGATTTTGTTACTACTTTTCATGTATTGAATTAGTTAACTTTCTGTTGGGGTCAATTAACCCATTGTTTTTTTTGTCAATAGAATTAAACTTTATATTTATTGTTAATTATTGTCTGTGGTGGTGGAAATTATTGTTTTTTTTTATTTTGAAAGTCCAGGCCTGGTACTTGAACCCCACTATTATGTAACCCTTTTTGGTTTTCGTAAACGGTGCGTTACAACATTATATCCATTTTTTGATTCTCCCCATCAATTTTAGTATGACTTTTTATAGAGAAATTTTACATAAAAATATTCAGATACTCAGTGGTATCTTTCTTACAAAAGGAATCGTAATATGACATTTTAAAAAAGGGTAAGGTTGGAGTCGCATACTGCAAATTTCCTGGAGTTAGTAAAAAAAAATGTCTGACTCCAACTCCACCACACTTCTATTAGTTCTACCATCTTGGAGTACATTTGGAAACAAGAGATTTTTGATACAAAGAACATAACTTGAATAAACTGGAAAATTAAGATTTCACTTGTAGATAACTAAGTAAAATTACCTTTAGGTAGGGCTGCCAGGTGTTTTTTATTTTAGCTAAACTGTTTTTGTTTTTTATTGAAACAAGAAAGGACACAATTTGTCTTTTATTATTCATTTTTTACTGTTTGTTTTGTAATAACAGTGGTGGATTTACACACAAGTATAGGCCTATCCTTATGTACCAATCTACATCCTTTTCCATAGAAAGCTGTAGTTTACCATTAAATGTTTTAAATTCTAAATTACCATATACACTTAGGCCTACAGGTTTAAATTATCCTACAAGCTCATATAAATGCACTTATGGGTTTATTCAAATCACATTTTATAAGCTATAGATTACTGTAAACAACCTATTCAAAACTAATAGTGTAAATTATTGCATTATATTTCTTGTCATCTATGTTAAATTTTCATAATTATTTTTTGATTTTTATTTAATGAGTCCTGTGGCCACTCACTTCAACACATACAATAACTAATTTTAAAAATATAAATAAATAAATGATATTTTCGGGAATCAAACAAATTGTTTTTTAATCAGAAACGTTTTTGTTTTTTTATAAGAACAATTGCAATTTGAAAAAAGAATTTCTGCTGAAGATGTTCTTATAAAAGAACGAAAACATTTTTGGTTAAAAACAATTTGTTTGGTTTCTGAAAATAGCATTTTTTATTTATTTAATATGGTGACAAGTATGGATGTATTTTCTGTTAATTTTGAAAAAGCTAACCCACAGGTTCAAATAGCTCCACAGGCTTGAATAAACTGTGGGATCTGCGAATATCTGTAGGATGATATTCGCAGGGATGAATAAAAAAGATTACCACGAAAGGAGGAGACGAGTACAATACAGAATCAAACAAAATTTATATACCAAAAATATAGTCCAGATTACAACACAGGAAGTTGGTGTAGGCCTGGCACGTGGCGGTCAACACAAAGAGTCCACACAATACACTCGTATAACGCACCTTCCACTCGAACACCAAGAACCAGAATGCCGAATTGCTGGTTCCCCACCATATATATACCACCCCCACCTACACCGTGCTGACACACAAAAACCGCCCAAAAACAAACTGAAAAAAAAATTTTTTTTTTACAATACAATAACCACATCGGCAGTATACAAAAACTATATATATATACATATACACAAAAAGGAAATAAATCCGAAGCGAAAGAAAACAAAAAGTTTTTTTTTTAACATGACGAACACGATAACACTGACCGACAATATATACTAGGATGACACAAAACACATCTCAAATGGATTTTAAAAAATAGATCCACAATAATTCTTAGTGTATATGGTAAACTAAAATTTATGTAAGCAAATATTATTACATTATTATATAAGCAAAAATTATCTGCAAATATTTATAGTTTATATGAAAACTGCAATTTTTAAATCAAAATCTAAAAAGATATTTTAAAACTTGTGATCAAAGGGTCGGCACCTCTTCAATGCCTGTCAGAATGACACCACTGTGTCCCGATTGTCACAGAAGCCATGACAGTGAATCAGTTTGGATTAGAAAGTGGGTCATGCAAGCAGCCATGTGAGTGAGCGTTCAGATTCAGGTACTACACAGCGTTCAGCACACAGATACTACATTAACAAAACAAATAACCGTTTATTTGTAAAGGAAAATATATATTATATATTGTTAAACGAGTTATAATAAATAGTCTAGAGACCTCTGTGTTTCTTGAGAGAGAGAGTTTACATTGGTTTGTGAATCGATAAATATCTGGAGTTGATGATGTTTACAAGGTGATGATAGATTTCGTTGAGACTAAGGAGTCCATTATCGTTCTGGAAGATTATTGGAAAGTTCTGGATCGGGAAAGTCTGGTTCAAGATTATTGGGAAAGTTCATCCTCACCGGCGTCATTGATCAAGGGTGAAAATCCGATCGAGTACAATTTGGCACAGACACAGGAAATTTTGAAGACTTTAGTCCTAGAGGAACAGGCAACAACTGACTTTTCGGCTGTCAGTTACGATACTAGCACGATATTACGATATTGACCAGTCAAGAGGTCAGCAGATCACAGGAATGCATCATTTTTTGTGTCAAGAAAGTGTAATTAGAGATTTTCTCAGGTAGTAGATGACAACAATTATCGAACAAGTATGATAATGTTGATGAACAAAGTTCGGATTCTCACAAAATGCTTAGTAAGTAATTAAAAAATTATTTGATTTTATTTATTTATTGTTTTTGGGATGGGACAGAGAAGAGTAAAAGTTGGAGCATGGTAACAGTACAGTAATACCTCAACTTACGCTACCCCGACTTACACAAACCCGGAGTTACGCGATTTTCAAATCTCGTGGATTCATCTTTTGTTTGAGCGGCACGCAGCTCTTGATTACTCACTCCCCCCACACTATTGTTCAGCTTACATGTTCGGATGTGTCGTGCGGAATCGAGACATACTTACAATTTATTTTGTGTTATTTATTTCTGTGTTTGTTATATCTACGGAGACTTGAGAGACTCTATATGGTGATTTCTTGTAACCATGAATGAATCAAAAGACGAGATAAGATTAATGAGAACATTTATTAGCTTACATACATCTGACTTGGATTTTACACAAATTGTGGAATTATACCCCGACTTATGCGAATTCGACTTATGCGGTTATCGCTCGGTCCCACCTATCATGTAAGTTCAGGGTATCACTGTAATAATTTTTAAGTATTCTTTAATCTAGTCATAGAAATCTGACAATTCTACCATTAGATATAATGGTCACTGTAGAACAAGACTATGTTCCAAGAATGATTTTGAACTTTGTCAGAAAAATTAGTCATGTGACAAAGGAAAACATATGGGCATATCTTTGTTAATTAATATTAGTATTGTACTTGTTTTGAAGCAGTGTCATTCTACATTTTTGTTACTTAAGCATGATAAAGTGCAGTTAAACGAACACTAGGCATCCTTTTATTTGTTTATTTGCTCTTTTTAGTTAATATTAGTATTGTTAGAATTAACCATGTGCGGAATCACATATTATTCAAGAATTAGAATTTTCAAAAGGAACTTTCACAATTTAATGAGTTTCTAAGAGCTGAGAAGAGTTATAAGAAACTTTCTAAGAGTTCTTGAGAATAAGCAATGAATGTAATTTGTTGAAAACAATGAGAATAAGATAATACAGTGTGCTGCCAGTGAAGTACTTAAGAAAAAGTGAAATTTGACTTTTTTTTAAGTAATTTACGTGACCAGCCATTTTTTGATGCGATTTAAAAAAAATAATGACTGGGTCAGTTGTAGCTAATATTCTAGTGTTTCTTATCACTCATTAGTCTCTATTGTTTGAGCTTAGTTTTGTCAAAGTCCTTGATTAACCAACTATACATGACCTATCTTTGTAAGAGAGATATCATGTGGATGCAACATGTTACAAGTGAGAACTGTGGATGAAAACTGGTGCAAGTTTCAGTGCAAGGCTGTAGAAACAGGTCTGGTTATGGCTAGATCACATTTTACTACCAACATTTCAATTACAATTCTAGTTTCAAATCTAGCATGCAACACTCAGACCAAATCAATAGACTTTTCATATGGGGAAAGGGTTATCACCAACGTACTGCTTTTGCTGTCCCTGGCAAAATCCAGGGAGATTTAGAAATTAGAAAAAGTGGAATAACTATGTAATTACCGAAAATGAAATCTTTCTAGTGAAACTAACAAATCATAACTATAATCATGGCAATGGTTATGTTTTGGGCCAGACTACTTCCCCCTTCGAGTCAGACAGTTCTCCCCTCCATGACAACTAAGATATTCAAATTGAAAATAATTGTCTTCTAAAGATGGAAGAAATCGAATCTCTAAAAATATTAACGAAGTAGACTTCTACTTTATAAAAGATAAAACTTTTCGTTTTTTTAATAAGAAATCAAATATTTACATCAAAATGAATTTTTAATTTCTTCAAGAACAATCTGAAGGCTTTAAAATATAGATTATAACATTCTTTGCAATAAAAAAAAACATCAGAGTAAGTTTTAAATAAATAATTTGTACTCATTTTCTTTGATGAAAGACTATTATACATATTTTATATAGTATCTCAGAACTTTAAGCTTACATACTACCATTAGATATAATGTATTGGGTATCATTGGGTATACTAAACACTTCTTGTTTTTTTTAAATAATTTTATTAAAAAATATACTTACATCATTCCATTATTGCATAATTCCTTAATTATATGTAATATCTTGTTTAATTAACAGCTTTTTTTCTTATATTTTTGTTGTATGATTTTTTTTCTCAAATAAAAATGCTTTTAAATATTGTACTTCATAAATTTTTTTTCTTTAGAAAATTTTTAAGAAAACCCAATGTTGCTGAAGCAAGTGAAGAATTTGGTATGATCTATTTTATTTTACTGAAGTATTTAATCTTGTTTTAATATATTTTTTAAAATTAAATATAATATTTTTAAAATTAAATAATACTACTACTGAAGTAACAATTAAATAATTCATATATGATCTTAAAATATTTTTTTTATTTCATTAATCTTTAAAAAATCTAATTAAAAAGTTTAAACAGCTAATTTAGATATTATATAAATAACCTCTATTTAACTGGAGAAATAATAGACTTACTTAAATACCCAAACTTCCAACAGTAACATGTGATATTAGCATCAGAACTAATGTTTTCAGAGTTCTTATGCCTCCAGTTTCAGGTTCTGCAGTCATTTTAATGTAGAACAAAATTTTTTTGTATATATGATGATGTTCCTATGTTTGTATCAAACATTTTTAAAGAGACAAACTTCCTGTGCTATTTAAAATATCACACAGCAAATGCATCATTAGCACTAACTGAACAATAGTAACATATAAGTGCTAAATTTTAAACAGCATGTGAAGTTTGACTTTTTAAAAAGTTCAATGTACATTGAAAAAAATTTGTTCTGTGTTCCAATGACTGCAGAACCTGAAAATAGAGGCATAAGAACTCCAAAAACGTTAGTTATGATGCTAATATCACATGTTTCTGCTGGAGTTTGAGTATTTTAAGTAAGTTTAATTTATATATTTTTAAATGTTTTTAAGATTTTGTATACCTTCATAAGGAACTTAAAAAAACAGAACTAGAATAAATTTAAAATGATCTGTTATTAGATAACAAAAAATATATATAAAGAAGTGTAAATATCACAAACCAATTATAAAAATATTGCAAACTGTATCACACACTTAATTCATTGCTGGCTGACTAGTTTGAGATCTTTCAGGTTTATTTGCCTGGTCGACACTATATCTTTCAGAATACAAATTATCAGTGTTTATAAGTCTGGCTGCAAACATTTTGACATTGATAATCTCTTTTGTAGTCTGAATGATGCTCAGATGACCAAAGAAATGAACAGCATAACTGCTTTTGTGAGTTGGCAACATCATTAGCTGAATTATCATCAGATGTGATGATAATGCAGCTAATAGATGACACCATTGCTATGATACATTTTCATGTCTTTTATGGAAATTTATACCAACAGAGTTATGACCTTATCTGATTTCCTTTATGCCTTTTGTCCTGTGAATGCTATGAAATGACATTCTTGAAGCTAAGGTATACTCATAGTTAAGAACTCATAGTTCAAAATCATTAGTGGAGAGGCTGAGTTGATACATTAAATGTAACATCTAAGAATATAGACTATAGGGTATAACCTAGGAGCATAAGATTTCTAGCCAAATTCATAAAGCAGTCTGTACCTGGAGCAAATGCTTTCCACAAGAACTAATTTATTTTTACAAGAAAATGTGTAACAGGATTTCCTGCAAGACCAGTTATGACTGACAAAGTTTTTTACTTTCATTTTGACAGCATCTGAAACAAAATACCTAATCAGGAGACTAATAGGGATTTCAGTTCAACAAAATGAAAATGTTGAAAAATTATTGAGGGGGAACAAATATTAGGGAATTCCCACAATGTGACACAGCTTAAAATAAAATCCACATTTACTAAATAATTTCATTATTGGATTGTTACTGCCATTGCAAATATGAGTACATTATTTACTTTTATGTGCAAAATGGATATTGAAAACTAAATAATGCAAATTTATATTAAAATTATGGATTATGGCAAATAAATTTATTCTGTCAGATGTGATTTAAAATTACGCTAAAATTGATAATTATGCTACTGCTGCAATCCTGTTGAGTGATGAATGATGTTGAATTGATGTTAAGTGCATGGTGTATTAATTTGTTGCCAAATTAATACACCATTTATAAAATTACAGTACTGTATTAGACTTACGGTACCTAATTTACATACTGTACAGACGATAGCTCGCCTAAACTCTCCGTAGCATGGCGCTGGACGGCAAAAAGTATATATATAATTATAATAAAGTTACAATAAATTAAGTTAATATATAATTATATATACAGTACCTAATTTATATATAATTATATGTACAGACGATACTAAACTCAATTTACCCACCTAAACTGTTCGTAGCGTGGCGCTGGATGGCGGAAAGTAGTTCGGCTGCCCGATGACGTTTTACGTAATTATAGGAGTTTTTTTACCGTTGTTTACGGATAACGCCACAATTTTTTCGCCATCTTATAGGAATCGTAATTATAGGAACCTGTCTTATAGGGGGATCTACTGTATTGCAATATTTCCCTCCTCAGTGGGTTTTCTTTCATACAAGTTAAACAAGGCATGAACACTTTTTTGATACTCTCTCACAATTTTTCAATTTTTTCACCATTGTAACTACTTTCACTAATACTCTTAGTAGGAGTATTGTGCTAAATTATTTCCTTTCAAATAGTAATATAGGTAACTACCAACTATGAGGAGGAAATGAAAAGAACACAGAAAAAATGTTTTTAATGTGAAATTAGTCAAAATAATGAGAACATTGAAAAATTGTGAGAGCGTATCAAAAAGTATTTGTGCCTTGTTTAACTTGTATGAAAGAGAACCCAACTGAGGAGGGAAGTATTGTAATTTCCAAAATGCATTTGGATAAAATAAAGTTGTTGATTGGCTAGTATTTTTGAAGTCTGTGGATGTGCTAATTCTTAGAAAATAATGATTGTTTGATTCGATTACATATTGAAGTATTCATTAATATTTATGTTTAATGTTATTTTCAAACTTATGTTCTATTCCAACATTTTCAAGTTCTGTTCTTTGCCATTCTACATTTGATTTGCCTGTTGATGGCAATCTTATATTTTGCCAAAGTACTCTCATATTTGAATGTGTTGTGTTTTGTTTATTTGTTAAAATTTGTTTTAATGTCATTGATAAAGTTTTTCTCTTTATTTTTGCTGTTATTGATATATAATACCACCATTTTATGCTTAATTACATATTTGTGCATAATAATTAAATTTTTGTTCAATTGTACATGAAGATATTTATCAGAGATTTGGATACTGTATTCGGAAAATTTAATTTACTTAGATAATCATGAATTAAAATCAAATCTATAAAGAAGATTTAAATGAAGAGAAATTAATAAATGAATTTGTGTATTTAAAATCATTGTTTATGGAATAACTATACAGTGGAATGAAATCTTTATTTGAAAGCAAAGACATCCATGAAAACAAAATTGATTTAGAAATTCAGTTACAAGAACAGCATAGTTCAACTAAAGAAAATGTGAAATTGATATAAAAGAGAAAACTGAACAAACTAAAAAATTAAATTTAAATTACCTGTATTACTATTTAAAAGGAAATAATTTAGTTCAAGCTTTTCCTGACATTGAAATTACATTTATTATTTATATATTATTATATTTATATATCTTTGTTTAATGGTTTCAAATNAATATTTTTTTTATTTCATTAATCTTTAAAAAATCTAATTAAAAAGTTTAAACAGCTAATTTAGATATTATATAAATAACCTCTATTTAACTGGAGAAATAATAGACTTACTTAAATACCCAAACTTCCAACAGTAACATGTGATATTAGCATCAGAACTAATGTTTTCAGAGTTCTTATGCCTCCAGTTTCAGGTTCTGCAGTCATTTTAATGTAGAACAAAATTTTTTTGTATATATGATGATGTTCCTATGTTTGTATCAAACATTTTTAAAGAGACAAACTTCCTGTGCTATTTAAAATATCACACAGCAAATGCATCATTAGCACTAACTGAACAATAGTAACATATAAGTGCTAAATTTTAAACAGCATGTGAAGTTTGACTTTTTAAAAAGTTCAATGTACATTGAAAAAAATTTGTTCTGTGTTCCAATGACTGCAGAACCTGAAAATAGAGGCATAAGAACTCCAAAAACGTTAGTTATGATGCTAATATCACATGTTTCTGCTGGAGTTTGAGTATTTTAAGTAAGTTTAATTTATATATTTTTAAATGTTTTTAAGATTTTGTATACCTTCATAAGGAACTTAAAAAAACAGAACTAGAATAAATTTAAAATGATCTGTTATTAGATAACAAAAAATATATATAAAGAAGTGTAAATATCACAAACCAATTATAAAAATATTGCAAACTGTATCACACACTTAATTCATTGCTGGCTGACTAGTTTGAGATCTTTCAGGTTTATTTGCCTGGTCGACACTATATCTTTCAGAATACAAATTATCAGTGTTTATAAGTCTGGCTGCAAACATTTTGACATTGATAATCTCTTTTGTAGTCTGAATGATGCTCAGATGACCAAAGAAATGAACAGCATAACTGCTTTTGTGAGTTGGCAACATCATTAGCTGAATTATCATCAGATGTGATGATAATGCAGCTAATAGATGACACCATTGCTATGATACATTTTCATGTCTTTTATGGAAATTTATACCAACAGAGTTATGACCTTATCTGATTTCCTTTATGCCTTTTGTCCTGTGAATGCTATGAAATGACATTCTTGAAGCTAAGGTATACTCATAGTTAAGAACTCATAGTTCAAAATCATTAGTGGAGAGGCTGAGTTGATACATTAAATGTAACATCTAAGAATATAGACTATAGGGTATAACCTAGGAGCATAAGATTTCTAGCCAAATTCATAAAGCAGTCTGTACCTGGAGCAAATGCTTTCCACAAGAACTAATTTATTTTTACAAGAAAATGTGTAACAGGATTTCCTGCAAGACCAGTTATGACTGACAAAGTTTTTTACTTTCATTTTGACAGCATCTGAAACAAAATACCTAATCAGGAGACTAATAGGGATTTCAGTTCAACAAAATGAAAATGTTGAAAAATTATTGAGGGGGAACAAATATTAGGGAATTCCCACAATGTGACACAGCTTAAAATAAAATCCACATTTACTAAATAATTTCATTATTGGATTGTTACTGCCATTGCAAATATGAGTACATTATTTACTTTTATGTGCAAAATGGATATTGAAAACTAAATAATGCAAATTTATATTAAAATTATGGATTATGGCAAATAAATTTATTCTGTCAGATGTGATTTAAAATTACGCTAAAATTGATAATTATGCTACTGCTGCAATCCTGTTGAGTGATGAATGATGTTGAATTGATGTTAAGTGCATGGTGTATTAATTTGTTGCCAAATTAATACACCATTTATAAAATTACAGTACTGTATTAGACTTACGGTACCTAATTTACATACTGTACAGACGATAGCTCGCCTAAACTCTCCGTAGCATGGCGCTGGACGGCAAAAAGTATATATATAATTATAATAAAGTTACAATAAATTAAGTTAATATATAATTATATATACAGTACCTAATTTATATATAATTATATGTACAGACGATACTAAACTCAATTTACCCACCTAAACTGTTCGTAGCGTGGCGCTGGATGGCGGAAAGTAGTTCGGCTGCCCGATGACGTTTTACGTAATTATAGGAGTTTTTTTACCGTTGTTTACGGATAACGCCACAATTTTTTCGCCATCTTATAGGAATCGTAATTATAGGAACCTGTCTTATAGGGGGATCTACTGTATTGCAATATTTCCCTCCTCAGTGGGTTTTCTTTCATACAAGTTAAACAAGGCATGAACACTTTTTTGATACTCTCTCACAATTTTTCAATTTTTTCACCATTGTAACTACTTTCACTAATACTCTTAGTAGGAGTATTGTGCTAAATTATTTCCTTTCAAATAGTAATATAGGTAACTACCAACTATGAGGAGGAAATGAAAAGAACACAGAAAAAATGTTTTTAATGTGAAATTAGTCAAAATAATGAGAACATTGAAAAATTGTGAGAGCGTATCAAAAAGTATTTGTGCCTTGTTTAACTTGTATGAAAGAGAACCCAACTGAGGAGGGAAGTATTGTAATTTCCAAAATGCATTTGGATAAAATAAAGTTGTTGATTGGCTAGTATTTTTGAAGTCTGTGGATGTGCTAATTCTTAGAAAATAATGATTGTTTGATTCGATTACATATTGAAGTATTCATTAATATTTATGTTTAATGTTATTTTCAAACTTATGTTCTATTCCAACATTTTCAAGTTCTGTTCTTTGCCATTCTACATTTGATTTGCCTGTTGATGGCAATCTTATATTTTGCCAAAGTACTCTCATATTTGAATGTGTTGTGTTTTGTTTATTTGTTAAAATTTGTTTTAATGTCATTGATAAAGTTTTTCTCTTTATTTTTGCTGTTATTGATATATAATACCACCATTTTATGCTTAATTACATATTTGTGCATAATAATTAAATTTTTGTTCAATTGTACATGAAGATATTTATCAGAGATTTGGATACTGTATTCGGAAAATTTAATTTACTTAGATAATCATGAATTAAAATCAAATCTATAAAGAAGATTTAAATGAAGAGAAATTAATAAATGAATTTGTGTATTTAAAATCATTGTTTATGGAATAACTATACAGTGGAATGAAATCTTTATTTGAAAGCAAAGACATCCATGAAAACAAAATTGATTTAGAAATTCAGTTACAAGAACAGCATAGTTCAACTAAAGAAAATGTGAAATTGATATAAAAGAGAAAACTGAACAAACTAAAAAATTAAATTTAAATTACCTGTATTACTATTTAAAAGGAAATAATTTAGTTCAAGCTTTTCCTGACATTGAAATTACATTTATTATTTATATATTATTATATTTATATATCTTTGTTTAATGGTTTCAAATGCCAATAGAGAAAAATGTTTTCCTAAATTAAAGTTGATAAATATACTTTAAGGAATGTTATGACAGAAATGAGACTTGTTAATTTAGTTATTCTTAATATTGAAATGAATTTTTACAAATCTTTTAAGAATAACCAAAAAAATGGGTAATATAAAATTATTGTTAAACTTAATTATCAATAGTTAAATATTAAAGTTTTATTTTTATATCCTTTCAAAGTATTTCATTGAAATTTTATTTCATCAGATTATGTAGAACAGTTAGTTTATTAGTTCATAGAATATTAATTTTTATTAAAAATAAAAAGTGAAAATTTAAACACGAATAGTGCTTAGCTATTTTGGCTATATATACACACATAAATGTAATAATAGGCCTCAGTGTTACCTTTGGCCAATTATCCTTAATCTAAAATAATTCATAATACAGTATACAGGGTGTATTTTTTATCTTGAGACATTGAAATAACTTAATTGGATCTCATTATTTTGGAAAAAGGTATAGACAAAAGTTGTAGGGTATCAAGGGGCCAATCAATTGGTGACTTTATATGTGACCTCGACCTTCAAGGTCATTTGGAAGTCAAGTCTGTTTTTTTCAATAGGAACACAGATTTTTTACCCCGGAAATGGAAAAAGCAGGAAATTTCACAACCAGATGTACTGTACCTTTCACCTTATTGTCTAGATCAAAGATCAAGATTATTTTAAGGTTAAAATTATAAGCTTTTTCTAATGGGAAGCCATACTTTTTATTACTGGAATAGGCAAGGAAATAAAAGTTACATTTTTTCATAACCTTATTACTTTGAACTTTAAAAGCATTCACTACTTTTAGCACTACCAAAGGAGTAACAATGTGGATGTAGTAGTTTTCTGATTCCTTTGAGGTGCTTATTTTCAGTGAATCTCCTTGCCTCTCACTATCATGGTGTTTGTTTTTGGTGAGTCACTTTAATTCTTACCATTGTTTGGAGGAAAATTTTATAACAAATGTTCAAAATGATGCCCTTCCACTTTAATGCCATGAGCCATGCTTACAATTTAGTGAGCCATGCTTACAATAATCACACTTGAGACGACCTTCAGAGGTCAAATTTGGGATACTCAAGTTCATGGCTGATGTGAAATTTTTTGTTGTTTCCATGTAAATGTAACTTTTATCTCCCTGCCTATTCCAGTAATAAAAAGTATGATTTCCCATTAGAGAAAGCTTATAATTTTAACCTTAAAATAATCTTGACCTTTGACCTGACAGTAAGGTGAAAGGTACATCCGGTTGTGAAATTTCCTGCTCTTTCCATTTCTGGGGTCAAAAATGTGTGTTCCCATTGAAAAAAAACAGACTTGACTTCCAAATGACCTTGAAGGTCACCAATTGATTGACCCCTCAACTTTTGTTTATACCTTTTTCCAAAATAATGGGATCTAATTAAGTTATTTCAATATCTCAAGATAAAAAAATACACCCTATATAATATATATTTATCAATAAAATAAAAATTATGTATTTTATTTTGTGATTTTATTCTTGATTTTTAAGTTAAATGAATAAATAAGCATATTTATTTATTTCTTTTTTTAATTTTCTAATTATATTAAATAAATTTATTAGTTTCCTTGGCAAAAGAGTTAGAAAATCAAGAATGTCCTCATTATGCTGCATTTTGTTGCTTAGCTGTAGCAAGGTAATTTAATTGTTAGATTTAATTATCTTTTTTTACTTTGGTTATAAATACAATGACATTATTTTTGTTTTATAGGTGTGAACATACATTGGGCAATTATGTTGGTGAAACTCGTTCTTTGATTAAAGCTGCACAATTATTTCTTGAAACTGAAGAACAAAATCATAAACTTTTATGTCCAGGTTTTGATGAAAATCTGAATGCTGCTCTTAGTTGCTATAGTCATGCCATTAAAGTATACTTAGAGAATAATAAAGTTTCACTTGCAGCTTCTCTGTATCTAGAAGTAGGTCAATGTCTTCGTTTACTTGGAAGAACTGCTCAAGCTATTCAGCATTTTCGAAGGGCAGCAGATCTTCAATGTGCTGTAAGTTAAATTTTTATATTAGATATTTTATTAATATTTTTATGAACACTTTAAATTAAAAACTTATCTTTAAATAATAATGTTTATAATAAGGATGTCTGCAGAAAATTTTTCAGGGGAGGCAAAACCTGGACACATATAATTACACCAATAAATTTTTACATAAATATTTATTTCGTTTTAGATTTTCACAAATAAATTAAAGAATACAGTATTCATCAAAGCATCCCATGGTTGAGGCTGTAAGGTTATGTATCTCACAATCACTTTTACAATTATAATTTGTGGAATTTTTCCTCAATCTCAGGGAGGGGCAAGTATTCCATCATACTCTCTCTGCAGATGCTTATATTTGTAATAGTTGAATTATTTTAATCCAGCAAATGTACATCGTTTCATCTGTACAATTAAATTTGAAGAGAAAAAAAAGATAATATACACTGTGTTTTAAAACCTTGCACAATTTATTAAATTTCTGACTAATGGTTTTGGATATGTTCAGCATTCATTTTCAGGTCTTTATATCAGAACATTCTGATATTTAAACACTTTACCAAATACAAATTCCAATCTTTGAATTTATAATCCTACAATAAACTTTACAAATGTTCAAACATCACACTGCATAGAAAAACAACTACAGTAGAGCCTTGATTATCCGACCCCCTATCAACCGACCCCTCGGTTAACTGACCGTCCTAGTCGGCAAATTTCAAATGTCCACTATTGATGTGGCGCTACAATTTTTGGCTATGTCTTGGCTACTTTAATATTATTTTTACGTGTTTTAGCTGGCAACACTGGATCGACCATGAAAGGGAGCCAGTATTTAAACGAGGCTTAACTTTCTAATTTTTAGCGATACAATAGCGATGATTATTATTTTAAAAAATTTTTGTTAGGCTTAACATCGATGAAAATTCAACGCAAAGTAGGTTAATAGCGATATACTAATATTACAATTACATGGGATATAATAATATACTACACTAATAATAGATTTTTTCATACTTTTCGGTTATCCACCCTTTCAATTATCCGACCAACCCCAGTCCCCAATTAGGTCGGATAATCGAGGCTCTACTGTACTGTTCCTTCTGGAAATTCAAAATAATTTTAATATTTTTTTTGAACCTTTGTAAAGTTTGTTGTAAAATTATAAATTTAAAGATTGGAAATGATATTAAAGTTTTTGAATATTGGAATGTTCTACTAAAAAGACCTGAAGATGGATGATGAACATATCTGAAAATATTACAGGAAATCCTTGTTAGTTTGAAATTGAAGAGATGAAATAATTGTAACTTTGAATTATCAAGTTTTGAATTATCCAATATTTACATATTTCTGTTTATAATATGCCAAATGCCATGCAACTGATGTAATTTATTAGGGAAACATGATATGGCTACATATACAGAATGCTATTTTCATTAATTAATTAATAATAATAATAATAATATGAAAAACTGCAGGTAAACAGCAGGTGTCTTGTGAGAATTTTCACTCCAAATTTTGAAGTAGCTGTATTTCGAACTAACTAAATTCCTTAACATGTAAATCTCAATACATTACAATAAGAAGATTCTACTGTATTTATAGATTTAAAAATACAGTAGAATCTTCTTATTGTAATCAGGATATTAGCAGTTGTTTAATGTTGTTAGAATTAACAGTCACAAAATATAAGTTAAAAAATTAATTATGAAACTTGGTTTATGGACTTGATGTCCTTATTAACTAAAGTTTAATAAGCACATCAAGTTGTATATGCCTAGATATAGTGAGAGAAAACAAAGCTAATGAGTGAATATCATGAATTGTAGAGTTGCAGTTTCATTTTGCATAATTTTTTGAAAATTGATAAATTAAGTTTTACACATTTTAATAGTTTTAATATGTTCTTTTAATGTCAGACAATAAACTAGAATTTTTATTAATTGTAATCTTACTTAATCTGCTTAATATTAGTTGGTTATTGTATCAATGTAGACAAATCCCAAAGTGATCGTAATAAGTGCTTTTTTTTGCTCATTCTCTGGTTTTACTACTATGTAAAAATAATGCCACAACAGTGTGTTCACTTTTTCAATATAATAGTATAATCATTAACTTGATAATAAATACAATTAATTCTAAACATAAATTATGTTCTGTCTTTATAGAGTCCTTTGAGTTACTTAAATTCTCTTGATTATGTTGCAACATGCAAGATTGAAATAGGTAATATGTTTTGAAATAAATTTTTTAAAATCCTATATTAACATTAATAAAAATTTAGATTAATCATACCAATTTTTGCATATCATTTTAATAAGACATAATAATTCTAATAAANATTTTAATAAGTATGATATAATAATTTTTAATTTAGAATTTCCGGGAGAAAAGATTCAGCTTGGAGCAGGACTTGAACTTGCAACTCCCACTTACCATGTGAATGTGTTGCCAGTTATGCTATCTGTACCTCCATACAATCTTTGCTTCCAGAACTATTAATTTAGATATAACCATTCTGGTTACTTGCTGTACTGACTGGGGACAACTTCAGCACCTTTGACCTGTAATGTCTGACAATATTTGTTGTCTAAGGATGGCAGAATAACTGCTTACCTCTATACAAATTAATTAGTTTCTAATCATTAACTTAGTCATACAACAGCCCAAAAATTTGGCACTTTGGTTTAAATATGATTTAAAATTTTTAAATTATATTTCTTTTGTGTCACTTAAAAGATATATAAACTTCATAAAACTTATTGTACATTTTTTGAAAACTAATTACTAATTCATTTTCTTAATAGGAGACTATAATGGTGCTTTAAATGTTTTAACAGAAATGTATAGTTTAACTAAAGAAAGAGGTAGGCATCTTTATTACAATACATACATTAAAAGTTTTTTCAATATTTAAAAATTGCATTTTCAGGTAATGCTTCCAATAATAAACCCTTAGGGTTTTATACAAGTATTTTGTCAAAATGTGAAGTCACTTCTGTTCTCCTCCTCCTCTTACTTCAAGTAAGATTTACAATTAATTTAATACTTTTATTTCATAGATGACAATCTAAAGCTATAATTTCATAAAGCAATTTTAATCATATAAGAAATTACAATTCTGATAACTTTCAAATCATTTTTGAATATTGGATGAATACAATATCTGAAAATTTTGTTCTTGTTTGTAATGCAAGCATTGCCAAAGAACAATAACAATAATTATATTAGTTTACAAAGTTTACATTTTTCAATAAAGACACTATCAATAATGTTAATAAAATTAATATAATTTTTATCCAATTTTGTAAACAGTGAATTAGCCATATTATTGTTTTATTATATTTTATTCAATGTTTTAGATTTCACATTTAAATTAGAATATAAACAAAAGTTGACTAACAGTCTTTTTATAAGTTTCTATATTTATTAATTAATGAAAAATAATCATTACTAGCTTTTTCTTATCAGTTTAGGGAAATTGTGTATTTTGTTTGTTTGTAATTATATGCATTTAAATATCAAGTTTGAAGGTTTTTTTAATAATAAAATCTTTGTAATGCTTTTTGCAGAGTAACTAAATTGAGTTTTATTTGAATTTTTATAATTATCATCCAAATAAGTTGAATATTTGCAATGATTTAGAAACTAAAACACTGTGGTAGACTTTATATTGTTTAAATGCAGGAAACCTACTGGTGTTTCAATTCAGACTATCAGATGATAAATCCAAATATATCTTATAACCAAGTCTGTTTTAATCAGGAGACGAAGTTCAATTGATAAAAGTAATCTTTATTCACTAAGCATTAAAACATACTCTCTTCATAAGAATTTGTTTACATAAGAAGTTCAATCATAAGAAGCTGTTAATGTCTTTACAATTAATTAGGAAGATGACATTGGAGTAGTGGGAAAAATCTTGGTTCATCTTTAAGAACTTCATATAAAAATTAAGCACCACAATTATAAATCCAGCCTCTAATTGACTTTCTCAAATATAGGATTCTATAATGCTTAAGATGTCTTTGAGTGTTTTATGCAGCCTCACCAAATTTGCAAAGGATGCTCTTGTAAATACACAACCAAAATTGCCATAAATACTCTGGCTAAATTTTGGAATTAATAATTAGGAATTACAACAGAATTTGGCACTAGAGGGAGGCGTTAGGTGCTATCTTGTATTAAAATTAATAATTACAATATTTAATTAATTAATTTAGAATAAACCGGAAGAAAAGAATCATCCTAAAGTGGGATTCGAACCTGTAACTCCCGCTTACCATGTGGATGCATTGCCTGTTATGCTACTCAAACCTTTGGTCTAACCTCCTCTTCCAGTATATATAAGCCTAATACATTATCATTGATGGTTAATACAGTACCGACTGGGGATGCAATTGCACTCTCGGCCAGAAACATTGACATAAGCCACTCAGTCAGCCATCGCATACCCCCACAAGGCAAGATATACAAATATAAACATCTGCTGAAGCCCGATGCTTAGCAAATACACAACCACAATTGCTGTAAATACTCTGGCTAAATTTACGACAATTGTGGTTGTGTATTTGCTAAGCATTGGGATTTGATAGATGTTTATATTTGGATGCTCTTGTTTTCAATTTGATTATATTATCACTTGGGGAAATTTTATTCTTTGTGTATAAGAAAGAAAGTTTATTTTTATCTTACAATTTTAAAAAATATAATTAAAACATGCCAGGACAAAATTCATACATTACAAAATTAAATGCATACAAGTATCATAAAAATGTTTTTTTTTAAATCTTAACATCCTTTTCACACTTGGCCGAAACTTTGGGAATATTTTTTTAAATTGTTTTTTACATATTCAAATGGAAGAGTAGCCTAAAAAGGAAGGTCAATTTGCCATAAGGACAGTTAGTTCCCGAAGTGTAAAAAGGACATTAAGATTTAAAAGAAGACATTTTTATGATACTTCTATGCATTTAATTTTGTAATATATAGTGAAACCTCTATATTTGTAATATTCGATATTCGTCACATTTTGATGACTGTTTTATTTTTCCAAATTCGTCATTCCCAACACTGGAAGTGGCACTACAATTGCCACTTCCAGTGTTACACAATTGCCACTTCCACACCCGCATTAATCAGCTAGCCATGTTAGCTAGCTGTAGTTAATCAGTCTGCTTTGTGCAGTCATCGTGTGTTGTTGAGTTATTGAAAAATAATCAATGCAAGAAACCAAGTTCCAATTGCTCCAAAGTGGCACACAAATGTTGCTATAGTCAACCAAAATACAAATAAATTCAATGATAATGTAACTGCCTACTTCAGAAAAGCTTTAAAAAGCAGACAAAACACACAACACTGGACAAGTTCTTTATTAAATTGAGTGCTACTGAATCATCAGCAAAACAGACCCCATGATCAAAATTAGAAATGCCTAATGTTTTAATTGATATGTCTTCTTCTAAATAATATCTCTTCTGTTCTTTCCCTTCTACCATTATACTGTATTTATTTAATACAATAAAGATAAAGTTTTACAAACAACATAATTTTTATTCTTGTACCTTTTTTCAGGATGGGAATTGATTAATTGAATATCAGTTATTTATTATGAGTAAAATTGTTTTAATATTCATCATATTCCATATTTGTTAGGTCAGTAGGAACAGATTAATGACAAATATAGAGGTTCCACCATATTTATTTTATTATTTTTACCTTTATTGTATACTGCAAAGAATATATTTCATCCATTGCTTTTGTATTTAGTATTCTGTATATAAATTTTTTATTGGTACAAACCAAGCATCATGCTCCATTTTTCAGAAAAAAAGGAACAGCAAAAGTTTTTTGACACTTTTAACATGCATATTATGATTAAATAAAAAATTTTAAAAATTTTGTCAAATTGGAAGGGAAATTGGTTTTGTCTCAGCAATTAACATGTTAAAGAAAATATTTTTGTTGGCTGTCCCTAAGATAGATAGCCCAGAAGCAGAAGCTTTGCTTATACTAGTTAAAGTAGGCCCTTAGAGTCATATGAAAGTTTGTTTCAAGTCAAAGCTTTTAAATAAAACTTAACTGTAATTAATTTAAATAATTTATTAATATTATTTATTATATTTTATTACACATGACATTCCAAATAGTAGTAGTGTTTTCATTCAACTTTGAGAAATTTTAACTTTTTATTATAAGATGTTATAAGATGAGGAAGGTAAAGATCAATTGGACCAACTTGATTACAAATAAGATAGTACTCTAGAAAGCAGATTCACAGAGGAAACTGTTGACCTATATAAAGTCTCATAAAACATCATACTTTGGACATGTAATCAGAGGAAACAAGTATGAATTATTACAGAACATCATAATGGGTAAAATTGATAGAAAAAGACAACAATGGAAGACCAATAATGTTATGGATTAATAACATACATGAATTGATGGGAATATGTAGGATATGAGAACGAGTAGATGAGGCAAGGAGGAGAGCCTTCTAGTGATGGCAATGAAACATTCAGAAAATTGGACATGCCACAAAGAAGAAATAAGGTGTCATTTTAACTATATTTATAACAAACACTTAAAGACATGAAATGCAACACAATATGTATTAAAGACAAAATTTCCACAGAATATTGAAATTGTAATCTTGCTAACAAAACAAACTTTATCTTATAAGTGTGGCTGTGGAAACTTGTATGGGGACTAGGTATACAGCAGGTCTTCTTTTTGAACAAATGAAATACATACAATGTTTGTTTATTAATAAAAAACAGTTCCTTAAAGATTTTGTTTTTTTTTTGTTTTTGTTTTTGTTAGTAAAAATAGCATCAGTTTATAGGAGTAGGAAATATATTCCCTAAGTTCTCTTCAGGATGGGGGGAAAATCTCCCATCTCCCACTCTCGATGATTTTCCTTATAAGAATCAATTTCATTTTTATAAACTACTGTATACGTAAAATGACAGGAGATTACAAAATTTATTAAAAACAGTATGTTATTGAAAGACTTTGGGTACTTACATTTATAAAATCTTCAGGAGATGTTTTTATGGGACATTAGTAGAATTTTGCACTTATTAGTTAATTTGATTGACAAATGGGTATTTCACACTTCTGCCCAAAGTTTTGCTTAGCTGAAAATCAGGTGAAAACTGATGGACTGTTATCTGGAAAGTGTGTTTGTTCAACTACTAGATTCAAGGTGCAATCACAATCACTGCTAATATATACATGATATAGTCTGTATTAAATTCCTGTTATGCTTCAATGTTGATTGTATTCGTTTTCATTACAGTTAAATAATTATAAGGATCTTTGAGAAGCAGGATATGGAAACATTCAAAAATTACTTGTATGCAATGCTATTTTTATATTTTCCAACTATTATCCCATATAATTCTTCATAACACATCCACATACCCAACTTCAATTACAAAATGCATATCCTAGTTCAATCTCCTTAATTGTACTAAGGAGTGATAACAGCTTGGGGACATTACATTATTTTATTAATTATGTACAGTACAAAGCAGTGATAAACAGTACAATTTGCTAACCATTCTTTGGAAACAAAAATGAATCATTCTGTTGCCCAAGGGTTGCTTCCTAGAATTTTGTAATATTTTCATAAACAATTCCTTCTTGTAATTCACCATAATAATTATCTGCATAGCCACCCATCCATATCTGCATTACAACATTTATAGACAGTGCCTAAGTTCATTAAATAAAGAATAATTTAAAATTAATTGCATTGATTTGCTATATGTGAGATGGATACTGGGATAAAAAACTGTAGAATTAAAAACTTTAATTAAAAAAGTTACTCCAAAAAAAATTAAAGTAAATTTTTAAAGACAAAATAGAACTGTGCTCTAATGGAACTGGATATGCTGTTGTCATTATAATCATTCAAAATAGAAATCATTTGCATATCAAACAACTATAAACATGAAAATATCGTAGGAAAATATTTAATAAATATATAACTACCTCAAAATACATGCAGATTACGATGAACTTTTTGTTCAAAATGTGCTGTATTTTAAATTTTCTATTAAATCTTGGAAGTGAGGCAGAAATAATGACAGCACTTACAGTTTGCCAGAGTTTGATTTTTAACTGTTATGATTGGTAGAATTTAGATCACATGCCATAGATCAGTGGTTCCCAATGAGTTTTTCCTGCGTACCACTTCAAAAAAAGAGCTCAAACTCGCATACCCCTTATAGCAGAAATTCATATTAATCCATACTAATATAAATTTGAAGATAAGTCTGTCTGTCACCTTTTTACATCTAAACAGATTTTAATAAAATTTGGCACAGAGATAGCTTACATGTTGGAGATGGACATAGGCTACATTTTACTGCGAGAAAATATCTTACTCCCACGAGAAAATTCGATATAATGCAAACGAAGCTGTGGGTGGACAACTAGTGATAAATAGAATAAGTTTTTTTACATTTATTACCTTTAAAATACAATTCTAATAATAATGAAAATAACATAAGGTTATTTAATTTTAATGTGACAAATGTGCACGATTTTCTTTGCACAACTTTGTAAAATCTGGTTGCTTTTTGGTCAGCTTCAGTCTCAAGTAATCTTTGAGTTGAAGTCAGTGATGATGATTAGTTTTCATGTTTGTCATGGCCGAAAATCTGCTCTCGCAGAGGTATGTTGTGCAAAATGGTAGTAAATATTTTATTGCCGCTTCACTGACATGATGATAATGATAATTGTACAATTAACACAAATTATATTAATTGTACAATTTTTTTTTCTTGCATAAGAATTTCACTTAGGTATTGTCACAAATGCATTTTTTTAAATGAAATTTTGAGAATATTTTTAGTTATAAATAAACGAATTTGTGCATTCGACATCGTGTTGTAAATTGCCGAATTTTTGATGGTCCATCCATTATTTTTTTGATTGCTTTATCTCATGCATTTAAATTTTAAATTGACTGATTTTAGATTGCCGCACGTACCCTTTCATGCAGTTTCGCATACCCCTGGGGGTATGCGTACCACTAATTGGGAACCATTGCCCTAGATGAAACACTAATTCTGATTGGCTATGTGTAATATTTTTCAATGCTTATTCATTTATATTTATATAGATTCCATTCTGTTTAACTATGTGTCTTTACCGTTTCCTCAATTTGCATTTATGTGAAGTTATATGAGTTTGCTCTTGATATTTTAGAAAGCATTGCTATTTCTATCCTTTTTGTTGAAAATATACTTTTGTTTCAGTTATTTTTTTATTTTATTTTTTCACTTAGTTCTGTTAATTCAGTTATATAGTAAATAGCAGACTTCTGCAGATTCAATAAAAATAATTATTTTATTTATAAATTAAATCATGATTTCTGAATTGGTGTTTTATTTTAATTTATTGAATAATAATAAATTTAGTTTTTAATTTAATATAATAGAAAATTTGAAATCATTTTAATAGTTGTTTTTAATTTTGAATATTTAGAATGTCTTTATTAAATTTGAAAACATTTTTTTAAATAGCCTCCTCCACAAAAATTAAAAACAGAACATGCTCATCTTTTAGAAAAATATGCCTGGGAATCTTCTGAAGATGATAGTTCTGGTATGTAAATTTTAAATAATAATGAAAACAAAACTACATTGCTAAAACAATTAAGAGATACAGTATTAATAATGCTGATCACTGTAATGGAACTGATAGTTTTGTATTACATAATACATAAATCAATAAAATAGTAAAAAGAAAGCCTTGTTAGATCAACTGTAAATAAGTTAATCTACTCTTATAAAATTATGCTACAATATAATTAAATTTAATTATAGCATGGTAATTGACATTCAGATTATTATCATTATTATTTATTAATTTTGGTAAAGACACTAAGGCATAAATTAAACAGCAATATTTGTCATTCACCATAAGAATTTACACGAAATTTTATTTCTTTTCATTGATTGAAAGTTTTTCTTCTCTTCAGACACTTACTTTGCATATAACTGAAATTATTTAGAGCAAAAACAAAGCAATTCCTAAAATAAGCAATTATTTATGACATTGTAACAATGCTGGGCTGCAGTTTTTTAATCATGTTTTTAATTTATTTAATTTAAATTATATGCTCTTCACCTCAAATTAGTAGTGGCTTGCCCTTGTACAATTAGAAACAAAGAAACTATACATTATCTCATATAGCATAGCACTAACAACCTCCAGTGATAGATAAGACTTCATGGTAGAAAATAGAAATACAGTAGACCCCCTATAACGCTTAGATACGTTCCACGTTAATCGAATTTTACATTGTAGGAGTCATTAAATACATGAGCCAATCGCAGCCCGACACGTGTGAAGTTTATGGACTAAGGCTGTTTGAAAGGTTTTCTTCTATAAAATTAACCGATTCTAGACTAATTTCACTCAACATTTCCAAAACACATATAATTTTTTGGNATTCTTGCCTTTTTATTACTCACGTTTTTTTCTGTTTGTGGGGGTTAAAGAATCTGTCCAATGTTGATTGCTTTTCTCTTTTCTTCAGGATTTTTCGGAAGTAATTAATAGTATTGTAATTGTATAGATCCCCAACCCCATTAACCTTATTCTGGTTTGAATGCCACTTGGATGATCGTTGTTCTGACATCCTTCCACTTCTTCAAAAGATCTTTAGTAGCAGACGTTGACATGATCCTCTTTCATCTTTTTCTTTTTCAAAAGAAAACACATCTCGCTGAGTTTCTTGGTGTTGTTCATTTGAGAATTCTTGGAGTTCTTCTGTCGTCAGGTCAATTTCAGGTTCCATTATGAGCTCTAAAATGCTCTTTATTTCTCAGATGTGATTTTCATTACTCCATTAGCAGCTTGAGACTTTTTGGTATATCTTTCATAGCTAAGATTGTGCCTACTGTAGACCTGTTCAAGCCATACTGCCTAGCAATATCAGACATCTTGTGCCCACTTTCTACCTTGGCTATTATCTCTTACTTGGTTTCTACGGTGAGCACAGTTCTTGACACTCCTCTTTTTAGGTTCCATAATATTATCAGTTTTTTTTAAATAAAAAGTTCAGAAAAACACAAAAATTCAGAGAACAGAAATCAACTAGCCCACAAAAAGTTATTTAAATGCAAGGTCTGGATGAAATTCGAAATTTGGTATTAAAATGTTAATGAATATCCAATGGGACAGTTAAACTTTCACCTTTCGTAAATAAACCCCGACGCAAAACTTAACAAGTGCCTGTCTGACAGTCTCGCGAATGCTATAAAAAATTATTTGTCAGAAAGGTAAACAAAAAGCTGGAATTACAAGGGAGAGTTTCAAAATTCGGAAGAATACTATCTGATCAGTATCGGGTTGAGCGTTGATGTTGACGTCTCTCGCGTTCCGAAAGGTTTCAAATTGTTACCTGAAGACAAGGGAAAATCAGTCAGTATTCATTATTTTCTGTTGCTTCTTTTTATGTTTGTTCAGTAAAGTGTTTGTTATCTGAACATGTGTTCGTTGTCCAATCATAAAAATCTTTCGCAAAAGTGTTCATTATCCGATTTGTTTGTTAACTGATCTGTTCGTTAACCGATCACCCACTGTATTATGAAATGAATAGGGATGCTTCTCAGATTGTCCAAAAATTTATACAGTACAGTAATTTTTTCCAATAAAACATGTTAACTATAAGTTACAAATATTACTAAGAAATACTGTATAATACATACTAAATTTATTTATTCTAATACATAAATATTGTAAATACTATACAGTACTGTAATACTATAACTCAAAAACATTTGTTAATTGTAAATCATTTAGGTCAAAATGCCCTTGTTGACAGATAATATCTCTCCCCCTTCTTTATGACCAGTAGTTCTATGGGGGCAGATTACATAATAGTTTTAAAAGCTAACAACCAGTATTTCNATATGTACAGTACCTAATTTATATATAATACTGTACAGACGATAGCAAACTCATTTTAGCCGCCTAAACTCTCCAAAGCATAGCGCAGGGCGGAGGAAAGTAGTTCGGCTGCTCATCCACTATTGGTCCAGATTCTATCAATCTTGTCGCGACACGAGTCGGCGACGACGTTTTAGGAGTTCCTTTATACGAATATTGCTACAATTTTTTCGCTACGTTATAGGAATTTCTGTTATAGGAATCCACGTTATAGGGGGGTCGACTGTACAGTGGGTGATCGGATAACGAACATAATCTGTTCCAAGACCTTGTTCTTTATCCGAATTGTTCATTAACCAATTACCGATTTACTATAGGTTTTTATGGGAATTTGATTACAGTAGAGCCTCGATTATCCAACCCCCAATCAACCGACCCCCCCTAGTCGGCAAATTTCAAATGCCCGCTAGTGATGTGACACTACAATATTTGGCTATGTCTTGGCTACTTTAATATTATTTTTACATGTTTTAGCTGGCAACACTCATTCGACTATGAAAGGGAGCCAGTATTTAAACGAGGCTTAATTTTCAAATTTTTAACGATACAATAGCGACGATTATTATTTTAAAAATTTTNGCGCTACGGACGGCGGGAAAGTAGTTCAGCTGCCCAATGACGTTTGAGGTGTTTTTAGGGAACTTTTACTATTTTTTACGGATACCGGTAGCAATTTTTTCGTAGTTTTATAGGAATCGTAATTATAGGGACCATAATTATAGGGGGGTCGACTGTAGATTAAACATTGCCTTACTATAATAGAACATTTTTAAATTTTAGAATTGTTTATTGAAATAGTTGTACGCAGTTCCTTATTCCATAAAAGAAATCAGATATACTAACTTAAACATAAGAATAATAGACATAATGAGTGTTACTAGGATGTTTAGAATGAGAATAAAAGAACAAAAAGATTGTTTTGTATTCTTTAATTCAACTTTTAATATACTGAATTAAATCAATTATATTTCTTATAGAAGTTTAAGAAGTTTATTAATTACTTTGAAATATCTTTAAAATATTAATAGAATAAAAATAATTAAATTTAACAAAACAAGAAAAATTTTTACAAAGCAAAAAATTCTTAAATAAAAAATAAACTACAGTACTGAAAATTGAAACAACACACAAATTTTAAGTTGAAATTAATTAGAGATGAGAATAGAAGTACAGAAGTTTATGAAAATGACAAATGAGAAGACACAGAAAAAGTAAAAACATTGTTGAATTTCCAAAGAAAAAATTTGCTACATCAGAAGATAAGATTAAAAAATTATATAAAAGAAGAACTAAGTATAAGTTACATGAATAATTGCTTAAGGAAAGATATACCATCTAAAATTATAATATAACTTATAAAAGGTTTTAATTGATAGAATTGTTTAAAATGTTTTTACTTATGACTAAAGTAATTGATTTAGGAAAAAGTATTATACCTATACAGTTAGTTATTTTATTATGTGATTAATTTAATTATTTACTTGAATATCATTATTATTGGATTGAGTTTATCATATTAATACATTAATAATTAGTAATTAATTTATATATATATACAGTATATATTTTGACATTTTAAAGAAATTACTGTTCTGTAGTCTAAATCATGTCACATAAACTGTTTCTGACTTCTATAACCATTCTCAAATCCTTTCCAACAAAATTATTATTTACTGTATTTACTCACATATAAGACAAGGTTTTTATTCATTTTTCACTGCTTCAAAAACCTAGGTCGTCCTATACGTGTGAGCGAAGCATTCTTTGTGTTTTTGCAAATAATTTTTGTTAACTGTGTATCGCATTTATTACAGGATTCTCACCCTCTTGTGTTTAAAGACATAAGTATTTTAAAATGTAAAGATGAATAGCAATAAGAAAAGCAAAACTTTTGAATTGAATTCCAAATTGAAATTTCAAAATCACACAGGAGCCCAATATAAGTTTTAATTCATTCCCACATGAAAATAGATTATTATTTGGAAATCAAAATTCAGAGAAATTCATAAGTGTAATTGACGGAGAGTGGATTTGACTCTTAAGAATTGGCAAATAAGGTTCCTGATTGTTCAGCTTTACATGGAACAAATTATATTGTTGATTTTATAAGATTTTTCCTTAAAATGCCATATTTTTTGTGGGATAATGTGTGCATTTACATTCATTCGATATTTTATTTGTGATTAAATGAAATAAAATTAGAATTGTATTAATAAGTCTAATTTTTCTTATTTTGATCTTTCAATTCACATCTCATCCTATATACAAGATCTCTTATATGTGAGTAAATATGGTAATTGGACTTCAATTTGAAAAAATGGTAGACTTATGTGAACTGAGGGGGTAGAGCGTCAAGCTTGTCCCCACTTATTGGTTTCTTTGTCAGAGATGGTCTATGTGGTAAGCGAGTGGAAGGGTTAGCGAGGTCGTAACAAGGTTGCTCATACTCAAAAAAGACGGTTATTTAAATACAGTAGAACCTTGAAAACTCGGTCTAATGTGGACTGAAGGGTGGCCGAGTTTGTGAAAATGCCGGGTTATCGGGAATGGGGTTAAAAAAGGATAAGTATGCGTGTTTCCTCAGAAAATACTGTACTGTACTTGTATGTATTGTTTGCTTGAGAATACAACAGAGAATAAACTACCCAAATATCCTTAAACAAAGGAAAAGTACGTCTTTTATGAAGGCATAGAGCCTTTACTACATGAAAATGAAAATTAATGAATACACTGTGTACAGTAATTTACATCAGTGATCAACCAAAAATGAGTCTGCGATTGACTTGTTGTGTATTCCTGGTATAAAAAGTATTTATAATCATAAAGCCTAATAGAAATTGCTGTTTCCTACTATCATTCATTCCTTTCCATTTCTGACAATATGTTGCTATTTATTTTTCATTTATCAGATTTTTAAAACAGTTAATATTGTTTTTTAATATACAGTCGACCCCCTATAAGATAGAGATACGTTCCATTCTTTAGGAATCCGATTTCTTACGATTCCTTCCAATCACAACCCGACACGTATCAAGTTTACGGACTACGGCTGTTTGAAAGATTATCTTCCATAAAATTAATCGATTCTAGACTAATCCGACTCAANTTAATAAACTATAAAGTTATACAAATCGAATGCAAAAATGAAAGGTTACAAAAATGGGAATAGTCAAAAATAATTCTAAGTCACGACAATGATTAATCTGATCGTGTTGATAAATTGGCCAAGTTCTGGGGCCTTTATAGATCCCAATTTTTTTCCCCCTCATCATCATTTTCCTTCTAGAAAGGGGAAACTGGAAGAAGGGAAATAATGAGGGGGGAAAAATTATTGAAGCTTTAAAATTCACAAAAGTTTTAAATCCTCACATTTATAAATTCCCACTGTCATTTGTCCATCCATCCATGTTTCCTTAATCTTGTTGTTGAATATTTTGACTGTCCAAGCAACTGTTTTCAGAATACATTGAATGGAACAGAATGTAGAAAGGAATATGTAGATTTGTTCTACATTCAAATTTCTGTATTATATTTAAATTAAAATCTATGTATTCTTTTCCTCATTCTGAAGATGGCTGCTTGAAAATCCAAAAATATTCAATAATTAAATAACAACTTTTGTTGGTAAAGATTTGAGTGGTTATAAAAATCTTAATCATGTTCTAAAAATTTCAGTATAATTTTCCCCTATCCTCATATTCATAAGTGCAAAATTTTGAAACATTTAAAAAAAAAAAGATCAAAGACTAAAATAATTTAACTATTTATGAATTATGTAAATTTAAAATGGAGAATGTAAACCTATCTATAAGCTTAATATCATTATTATCTTTATTTTGTCAAAAGCAATTTCCATGGATTTGATAATCCATTGTCTCTATAATAATCGCTAGTTCATCTCAACCGTAATATCTTTATTTTTGCTGTACAAAAACAGAATTTATTTTGTTTCTCAAATTTATATATAAAACTGTTCAAAAATGTTAGATATACAGTATATTTTATTGTAAAAATAATTATTTTTTTATATTAATATAAAGTAGGACCCCATCATATACAATCGGTGCATTCTAATAAGCAAAATTTGTGTAAAATAGTGAATTCCATTAATTATTTAGTACTGTATTTCCTATATATACATGCCTATTACATATTTTTTTAAAATGTAAATAAGACAAATAAACAGTATATTAAAAGTAAATAGCACAATACTGTAAATCAAAAAACAGCTTTAAAAAAATTTTTGGAAGTAGACTTTTCTCTATTATGACTAAATTTAAAATTTTAGGATTCTTTAAACTAGGCAGCTTACGGCTTTTCTTTGGCTTAGAGCTACCAGCATCATTACCCTTGCATTTTGCAGCTGTGTTTGCATATTAATTACCATAAATGAAACCAAGAGAAATGATTGCTTGTAACATTTCACACAGACATGACATGTTAAAAGCAAGACCTTTGGACAAAGACTGATGTGCATCCCAGTGTTTAGTGCAAAACAAATAAATGAGTTATGGTATCACTTTTCCAGAACAAAAATGAGCATGACTGAGACAGATGCTATGAGACTGTGCATTCTAAAAAGCACTTGGATTTAATACACAAAAATTTCTATTCTTTTTAATAGCATGAACTGAAACTGTGCATGGCACATTTACATATAATGAAGTCATACTGTATATTAATATCAATTTTTATAATACTGCATTAAAATTATTATAAGTCATACATTGTAGCATGAGTTCTTATTCATCTATTTACAGTTATACTTTATCTTACGTGAAATGTTTCCAAATGGTTAATTTTATACATACTTGTTTTATTGTTTTATATATATATATATAAAAGTATGTATAAGGTGTATATATATATATATACCTTATACATACTTGTTTTATATATATATAAAAAAGGTATATATATACCTTTTAAACATCTCAAAAACTGGTAATTATTATTTATAAATATACCAGTACACCAAATCAGTTAACAAACACCAGAAATATTTAATATAAACATTTTCATCTATATCAATCAGATATTCTCAGATTACATAAGTCTATTAAATTGAATACAGAACTCAAATTAAATTTTTAAATGGTTTATATTCAGGCATTTTCTCCAGACAGAAAATGTATATTATAAAGAAAAAATAAACAAACACCAAAAATATTCCTTTAACTGATTTGTTGTACTGGTTTGTAGTTAAAAGTAATTTATATCATTTTATTTCTTATTTCAGTTTCAATTTTAGGAGAAGATCTGTTTCTTCTTCTGCAATCTGCTGTTGTAAGAAATTTTTAATATTATAAATTTAGTAAATTTAAATACTGTTTCTCAGTTTGTGATTAATTTACAGATGGCTTGCCAATCTCATGATCTGGGTGCTTTAAAATCTCTTAGAAAGGATTTATGGTAAACCATTATAAATATATCAAATTATTTTACTTAATAAATGAAACAGATATCAGCTTTTCATTTTAAAAGTAGTTTACATAGGATTTTTCTAATTTTTGTATAATATAAAAAAATTTTTTTTTTTGTGTTTAGTTTTTAATTTGTAAAGAAACATTAGACAGTTTTATCTTATATATTAAAATTTAATTAAATTTCTTTACAATGTTCATATAATAATAAGAGTGATAATTTTTGTTTTTTCATTTTTTATTAACTTACTGTATGATCACTGTTGAAGATACCATATACTTTTTATTGATAGATCTATTAAGTGTCTTTTACATATATCATTATAATGATATATTATAGTTTTAAATTATACAGAATATTCCATTTACATGAAAGCATAAAATGTATATATTTAAAATAAATTGAAGATGCAGATGAAAAAAGAGAAGATAGAGATCCTATTTGTTTATTCAAGAAAGAAATTTAATGCCACACAATTTGATCATTAATCTATAATTTTCAATTTACAGTTTTCACATAAATGGGACAGTCTATATTTATGTTGTAATGAATGAGGATTAATATAGTTATTTTTCTGTAGTTTTTACATTTGATGATATAAAAAATTTTTAAATGAAACAAAATTCAGAGTGATACATGATTAATATAATGATATTTTATTATCTTATATTATAAATTGTTGTCTCAATATCATTTGATAAAATATAGAATGATATTTGAATATTAATATTAGCAAAATTTAAAAAAAATTCTCTCTCTCTAATAAAAAAAGAGAATTAATTCTTTTACATTTAACCGCATTTACATTAATCAAGATATATGATACTTATTATAATGTATATAATAATAATTCTGTTAATACGGAAATTAAATCCATATAATTTAAAATGAAGTATTTCAAAGATTAAAATAATGGTTCTGTTAAAAATAAGCTGTCAAAATTCATTAATATCTTGATTGATTACAAAGTTAAGTTTGAAAACAAAGTTAACTTTTTAATCTTGGTATTATTCTGAGCAATATGTCTTCTAAAATACAAAATAAGTGTTGCTTTGATTTATCAGTTTACATTTTATTTATTTTATACTCTTGTATTCAATTTACAAAATAAACTAAATTTTTAGCATATTATAAAAAATTGGCATCCATATTTTCTAGTTTCTCTTATAATATACTAAATATCTTGAAAAATTAACTATTTAAATATCTCCAATTAATTTAGTTTAACAATTTATATTTTCAGTGGTTGTATATAAATAGCACTAAGTCCTGCATCTCATTTATAGTGTTATGTCAATAATTTATGTAGTTATTTTATTATTACCAACAATTTAATAAAATTTGTTTCAGATTTATTTTTCCATCTGCAAAATAAATAACCATATTACTAAATGTACAATACATTATGTAAACTTGAAATATTTTACTTATTTATATTGGCCAAATTGGTATTAGCAAATTTGTTATAATGATTAAAATGTAATCTTATATGATTGTATACCTTTTAATCATCAAACACATTATTAAAGTTTGATTTATATGATGATGATGAAATGAGAATTTCAAAATTAATTTACATATGTTTAATATGACAACCTGGTCGTATTAATTATATGTAAATTAATTTTAAAATATTTAGTAGCCTCCCTGTAAATGTAAGGCTTATTGTCTTATTTACTCTATTTTGAGAATTTCAGTTATATAGGTTGTCCGTTTTAATTGATACACATGAATATCTTGAGAAATTTGCATTCTACAAAAATATTGTTTCAGACAAACTTTGTATGTATTAAGAGGGGCTGCAAGATGGTATTATTAGTTTCCCCATACATGATACTATGATCAGAAAAGTAAAGTAATATCTTGAAGTATCCTTGTTAATTTTTAAATAAAAACACCCTTTTTTTTAATTACATATTCAAACTTTGCATAGAAAAATACACAGATTTTATTTAAATGCTATTATTAGAAGATATGAAAGATTCAAATTAAGAGCTGACATTCAGCTGTCATATCTGATACAGTCTGATATTTTTGAATTTTAATATTATACAGGAACAAAATTTAGAAAAAATTCTTTAGTGTAAAAGCATTCATGTGCATGTTTCTCAAAGATAATGCTCATCTAGATAATTCTAAGGCTTTTTCAATTTATTTCTTAGTGAAAAAAGCGGAGAATTTTTTCATAGGAACACACACACACACACCTGTTTATTTTAAAGACGTTTTTATAAATTTTGTTCCTATCTATCTAAACTAAATTTCAAAAATATTAGACTATATCAGACATGGTGGCTGAGCATCAGCTCTTAACTTAAATCCTTCATATCTTCTAACAATTGTATTTTTAGAAAAAAGTTTTAAAAAAAATCTTTGTATGTTTTTTTTACATGGAGTTTGAATATGTAATAAAAAATGAGCAATTTCATTTGAAAAACTGAAGTTGATATTGGTTTTATGATAATAGTATATCTACGGGAAAACCAATAACACCAATTTGTGGCTCCCTTGATACAATACAAATTTTGTCTGGAACATTTTTTATAGGATACAAATTTCTCAAGATATACAAGCCATTACATTTTAATAGATATATGTAAATATTCTAATTTAGAAAATTGAATGATGAGTTTAAATAGTCCAAAATTATTACAATTTAAAAAAAAAACTCATATTTCTGACTGCATACTGTTATGAAACAATGACAACATAAAAAAGCTACAAATTTTTAATTTTTTTTTAAATTTTAAAACAGGTAGATCTGATTTTATATAAACAATTCATATTTTGTATAAGAAAATACATTTTATCTTCAATAAAGAAGAGTCCCAATGGGATCCTCTCTATTGAGATATTACAGAAATAGTGTTAAATTGGATTGAGAGCAATGCATTAAAGATGTTATAAAGGATATCAACTAATATTTAGATGAAATATTGCTTTTATGGGAATAAATTCAGCTGAAGAATTCATAAAACATATCAATGCAAACTCAATAAGCTTAGTGGTTAATTTAACACAAAATAGCTTTGAATGCATTAACATTTTTTAGACATAACTGTCTATAAGGAAGGAACACAGCTGAGTACAAAAGTTTTTAGAATATTAGTGGCTATTGATTTGTTTTTTATTGGAAATCAGAATATGCTGCAGCATACAAACTGGTAGCATTGAGAGTTCTAATAAGGAGAGCAATATTGCATTCATCAATAAATATCATAGAAATAATGAATTTCAAATTAATTAAAAAGATTGTCTAAGATGGTTTTCCAAAAAAATGTAATACATAATATGATTAAGGCTTCATTATATGATACACCAGAGCAGGAAAAGGCAGAAAATCTGAAGTACTAATTATAACAGGTAGAAAAACAGCAAACCTAGCAGCACAATATTACAAAGAAAGCAGTATATAAGCTAGTTGTTAGGAGATGGCAACTTTGTGGTGAGATGGTATGGCCTTGGTTAAACCTCTGGCTCATGGATTAAACCTGCTCCATTCCAATAACTCTACCAGATCCAATTTTTTTATTTGAGGAAGATTTTTCCTTATTTCCTCCTACACTTACTATAGTGATATGTTCTTACAAAGGAAAAATTTATTTAAAAAAAAGAGGGTTGTCCAAGGATCCAGACTCCATTGCTACAGCAATGTTTTTTCCCTGTTGTCATAGCTGAAAGATGACCTCCAGTAATGAGCTTATTAAGAAGTGACAAAGATAAAATGTAGGTTTTCAAAAGCAGGAATGTGTGCATTAAGACTATCTAAAAGCAAGGAATCCTGTTACTATATTGATTCCACATACAGATCAAAGTTATTAGAATTAAGGAGCATTATAAATCAGTAGCATATGGTCAAAGCAATATAACCAACCATCTCTCTTACTCAATGGGCATGGAATAAAAAAGAAGAAGTTCACTGGAACACCTCTACCACTCTATAGTAGAAGAGTGTGTGGAGTAGGAAGTCCTATTAGATTATTGGAACAAATATATACTGTATTTATGGACTATCAAAATATGTAAATGTCATCAATAGTAACAATTCAAAAATAATGCATGAAAGCTGGCATTAGATGGCTAGTTAATACACTAGAGGAGGACATAGATAGAATTGTAAAATTGTAAATCTATGTATCTATCTATCATTAATCTTTCAAAAATATTTGCCATAAAACCACACCAACACCAACTGCAGTATAAGATTAGGCTATTTTTTGACGATTATAATTTTAATTACTAATTTAATTTTAATTAATTTATCTTAGAGGGAAGTGTTAGGCACCATATCGTATTAAATTTAATAATTATAATTTAATTAAATATTTTTAATACAAGATGGCACTTAATGCTTTCTTCATACAAATTAATTAGTACAGTAGAGCATCGATTATTCAACCCCAATTAACCATCACATCGGTTAACCGACCGTTCTAGTCAGCAAATTTCAAATGTCTGCTAGTGATGTGGCACTACAATATTTGGCTATGTCTTGGCTACTTTAATATTATTTTTGTTAAATTTTGCGTGTTTTAGCTGGCAACAGGCTCGACCATTGAAGGGAGGCCAGTATTTAAACAAGACTTTTATGAATGGTTGTTTGTTTTGTGAGCAATAAAATAATTTTTAACGATACAATAGCGATGATTATTATTTTTTTAAATAATTTGTTAGGCTTAACATTGATGAAAATTCAACGCGAAGTTGGTTAATAGATATATACTAATATACTAATTAC